ATGTAGCATTTCTATTCATTTGTCTCCCAGGTCCGCCCTTTTCCGCTGGCCATGTAGCATGTCTTTTCATTTGTCTCCCAGGTCTGTCACTCCCAGGTCTGTCGCTGCTGGTGTCCGCCCTTTTCCGCTGGCCACGCAGCATTTCTATTCATATGCCTCCCAGGCCTGTCACTGCTGGTTTTTGCACTTTTCCGCTGGCCATGTAGCATTTCTATTCATTTGTTTCCCAGGTCTGTCCCTGCTGGCGTCCGCCCTTTTCCGCTGGCGATGCAACGTTTCTATTCACTTGTTCCCAGGTCTGTCACTGCTGGTGTCCGCCCTTTTTCCGCTGGCCATGTAGCATTTCTATTCACTTGTCTCCCAGGTCTGTCACTGCTGGTGTCCGCCCTTTTCCGCTGGGCATGTCTATTCATTTGTCTCCCAGGTCTGTCACTGCTGGTGTCCGCCCTTTTCCGCTGGCTATGTAGCATTTCTATTCATTTGTCTCCCAGGTCTGTCACTGCTGGCGTCCGCCCTTTTCCGCTGGCCATGTTTCCTTTTGTTTCCGTTCTTGTTTCCCTTTTTGTTGGTCATTGTGTCCGCCTTGCGTTCGCTGCAGGCTTGTCTCCCAAGCTTGTCTCCCTTCATGATTCGCTCTTGGCTGCCGCTGCCGTCTTGTTTCTCAAGCTTGTCTCCCTTCATGACTTCGCTCTTGGCTGCCGCTGCCACCTGGTCTCCCAAACTTTTTCTTTCATGATTTCGCTCTTGGCTGCCGCTGCCGGCTTGTCTCCCCAAGCTTGTCTCCCTTCATAACTTCGCTCTTGGCTGCCGCTGCCGCCTTGTTTCCCAAGCTTGTCTCCCTTCATGACTTCGGTCTTGGCTGTCGCTGCCAGCTTGTCTCCCAAGCTTGTCTCCCTTCCTGACTTCGCTCTTGGCTGCCGCTGCCGCCTTGTCTCCCAAGCTTGTCTCCCTTCTTGATTTCGCTCTTGGCTGCCGCTGCCGCCGTGCTTGCCAAGCTTGTCTCCCTTCTTGATTTCGCTCTTGGCTGCCGCTGCCGCCTTGTCATTTTCTTGCCTGCCTTTGACGCGGATGCTGTTATAAGATGATTTAGGTCTTGTTTACCTTTCCATCCTTTCCCCGGCTTTGAGTGGGATGTCTCCCAAGCTTGTCTCCCGCTCTTGCCATGGTGTCCAACTTTTCCTGAAGTGCTATCTGGGGTCTATGCCGGTATAATGTTTCCCTTCTTGTCTCCGTTCTTGTTTGTCATTGTGTCCGTCTTGTCTCCCTTCTGTTTCCTTTTTACTCCCTTCTTGTCTCCTTTCTTGTTGGCCATTGTGTCCGTCTTGTCTCTCTTCTGTTTCCTTGTGTCTCCCTTCTTGTTGATGTTCAATAAGTGAACTTGGGAATGCTTCGTTGTTGTCCTACCTGTTTGGGGTCTACGGTGGTGTAATTTGTTTCGAGGCAAGCGATGATTGCAGTGGATGGCTGCGGCTTTATGTCTCACATTTTCCGTCGCTCTCTTAGATCAATTTGAACGGCTTTCATGCACTCGCAAAATCCGTCATATCAGGTGTATTTCCTGCGTGGCAGTGATATGCCAGGCCGAAGCAAACACATGGAAACACATGTGTTTCACCCGAAGCGAGCTCCGGGGCCTGACGCAGTTCATTCGCTTCTTCCCGGCGATTCGTTTGGAGCTGGACTTCGACAACATGTGGAAGACTCGCTTCGAAGAGATGGCTGGAGCCATGCGCTTTGAAAGAGAGGCAAGTCTGAAGTCACATGTATCTTTTGAAAAAGCATTCTTGCTCTGCAGCCTACTTTTTGCCCCCTTACTTGCCTTATACATACGCTGCTCCCTGCAAGAATGCTCAATCAGAATGCTTAATAGCCTAAGCAAACAAGAAGGCTTTTGATTGCATCCGCTGGCACCAGCTTGCAGAATCCTTGTCGCCAGGGGGGGCTTGCGGGGGCGCCGCCAAAGTGAGCGGCTTTGATTCGAGATGGAAAAGCAACGCGTTACTGAGTTATACTGAGTTACTGAACACAGATGATTAATGGACTTTTTTGGTGCCTTGGGACCACGGGCCCTTGTTATTACGTAGCCCAAAAGGATTGTTATTGAAGTCATGAACCACTGCGGCCTTTTCCTTTATGAACCACACAGTGTGAGTTCTGTTGCTGATTTGGCTTCACAGCTGAGACACCGCCGTGCGGACATCTCAGAACAAAACTCCAGCACCGAGGAGCCCACTATCCTCCACTAAATTCATCCTTTTGTCAAGATCGTTAAACTCGATTTTGCCAACGCATGCAATCTGTGCAGCTTTGGCATGGTATCAGCCAGATGCCTTCGTAGGGCTCCCGGAGCATACTGCAAAGGGCTTTGATGCATTTTGCGGGTTCATGTGTCCCAACACGGCTTTAGCGTGCAGGCAAATGCATGGCCGCTCCTTTGAGTGTGCGATTTCTTCTTGTCATGCCCTCCCTCGCACTTGCACAGGGAGGGGAAGCAGTGGAGCCTTTTGGATGCATTTGAGCTTCAGACTATTTAGCGCGACATGGAGCACCTGTTGACATCGTTTCGCTTGCAAGGATATGGGTGCCTGTGGTGAGTGTCATCATGGGCTTCATCTTCGCAGCCCTTCTCGTTGTGTACGCAGCAGCTTGACCAAACAATACAGGACTCAGCGAGTGAGTGTTTGTTTTTCACCGCAGCCAAGGTACGTTGTACCCAGCGCTGCTGTGCCAAAGGGTCTACGAAGGCTTTGAAGAACAAGCTTTTTAACCTTTTGGGTACACTTGTGTGTAGAATGAAGGATCAGTGTGATTCTTGGAGGTATCTTTCCCACGGCATGTATTTTCATGTTGCCTTGTCACTCATTACACTTGAAGCAATTCCACTCCCTCTTTTACTTTTGCCTGATAGGAAGGTCAAGTCTACCCCAAATCTAGGAACCAAATTAGTCATGCGAAGAACCTGTGCCCTTCTGCGTCCAAGACCTAGCGGCTTTCTTGCTACTATATACATCTATATACTATGTTCTCTTCTTTCCTTCCACTGGCCGACCTCCCCCCAAACACGGCATGTCACAAAGCCGCAACTTCAGTCTAACGAGGTGTGCTGAAATCCCACTTTGGATATTGATTGACATTGAATGTGCATCCATTTGCGATACGAAGACAGAACACACCTGGCTTGAGGGTACTCGTGCTGTGCATTGGGGTCAGGCCAAGCAATGCATGGCTTGCGATGGCAATGGGTGTAGTTTATGTGTGTCCAAGGAGCCACATCTTGCGCACTATTAGTCACAAGAGCGGATCGAACTACTCTACCACTGCAAACATGATGGACTTCGTTTTGTAGCTTTGCTCTTCATTGTCTCCATTTTGATCGCAGGAGGCCGCAGCTGCCAACGCCGCTTGGTATTTCAATGCATATATTTTATATATTCCAAAGAAGAACTGGGACAGCTTGGATCACCCACAAGAATTTGACTGATCTTGCTCAGGCAGAGCCAGCACCGTCCTGCGTTGCTTGTGGGAATAGCGGATGCTCGCTTTGCGGTATGCAGGCAAAGCGTATGCCGTATGCCAGCTAAATACATCTAAATTTGCTGCAACTGTAGGGTAAATGGAATCGATTGGAAGCGAGGTCCCGGAGATTGAGCAGCAAGCAAAGACCTCTGCTGCTTTTGAGGCAGGCTGTTTGGGGTCATGGGTTGCAAGGCCAGGTCAACAGTCAAGGAACTCTTCGGAGCCTTGCTTGGAGCTCTTAGAGTTTCTTCTATACTCCAGGATCCTGCGAAGCTTCCTGTTGAAATCGGACTCGTCGAAGAAGCACGTTTGTGAAAGCCTCAGACGCTTCTTGCAGTTTTTGCTGCTATGACTTCTCCGCAGCGGAAAAAGGGAGAGTGATTTCTGTTTGCAGGTCAAGGGAGTGTTCTTTCATCAATCTGGAGAAGAAGTCGAGCAAAGTCAGCGTGCGATTCTCAGCCAGTCAGAGCTGTCACGATGCGTAGATTAAACAGATAGATGCATGGCCTCCAACCTAATAGCGATGGCCTCCAACTGATTCTCATAGCTGCCACGATGCGTAGTTCTTTTAGTTTAACACCATCTTTTGGCAGAGGTTTTTGCAACTCCCTCGCGGATGTGCTCAGGCGAGAGCATACGGCAGGGTTGACACATTCGAAGCAAGCAACAAACCGCGCCGCACCAGGAAGAGTAGAACGCCTCTGACGCATCTGAGAGACACAGCTCCTTCCTCCTTGTCGCTGATTTTTTCAAGCGTTTCACTTGGAATCTTTTCAACATGAGATTCAATCTTTTAGCAATTTCGGCCGATCTCGGCCGATCTCGGCAGGATCTGCAGGCTGATTGGTTCTAATCCTTAATCGTTGTGTTTGCTCTTAAGAGTCTGCACGCATGACCTTCCGAAGCCTTCCTTCCGCCTTCAAGACGAAAGTTGAATTTTTTGGGCTGTGACAAAGTCAAATGCCCGAAAAGAGAGGGATTGCCCGTGACCATTTTCCATCCTCTCTTTCAACTGGATTCCAGAACTTAAAAGGTTGGAGCGTGTGAAGTGACAGTGAAGTGAGCCACATTGCGACCGTCGCCTCCATTGGTGAGACGATTGTCCCTGCAGACATTTTGAACCAAGTCATTGCCCGATGGAACAATTGTTGACTCAGGCCCGGTTTCCGCTTCTGTAAAGACTTTTGGCTCCTCTTGGCTCACCGCAGGCTATGGGAGAGAACGCGGCACCACAGCCACCGAACATGGAGGCCTGTGGAGTATCAGTGCCTCCTGAAACCATTCTGAGTCCTTTTCTCTTTTTCCACAGTTCAATGTTCCTTGACCATGGCGAGGCCAAGTCCAGTGATGCAAAGAGCAAGAAGAAGGCCTTTTGTGTTTACCAAATCTCAAAAGTGCGGTTGCAGTCAGAATAGCAGGGTCCGATGTGCACATAGTATTTGACCGGTGTCCACATGTGTCCACTGGCCGCCGCCTCTCAACCGGGGAGAAGCGGTCACAAGAAACAGCAAAGAGATGCAACAGTGAGGGCGAACAATGACAGAACCAGAGAAAGCTAAGCAAGAACAACCAATGCCTCTAAAACAGCGAAGACTTTTTTTGCAAAGAAAAACAAAAGTATGACAACAAAATACAACACAAGTGCTTCTTGCAGAGACCTCGGTCTTTGCCTCACTGCAAAGCGCTGTTGTAGCAAGCTGCAACGAAAGCCAGAACATTCGCCATGCTTTACATGGCTTCAGTTTCATCAAAATATAATGACCAAGACAACTTCACACGAACCATAAAATCGATCCTGCAACTTTATCACTCCGCTGCCAGAGGCAAAGAACCTTCACACGCTTGGACACGAAAACACACGACTGATGCGCAGAAAGGAAGCAGCACTGTAATTAGCGGGTGGGGACCGTGCAGTGAACATGATATTTTTTGCATGACAAGCCCAAAAATAAAGCATACTATATGCATATGAAGTATTTTTTCGACCGTTCCAAAGCCAAAAGCAAGATGTGATGCTTTTGAGCAACATCGAAGTTTGAAGTGGAACACTTTTTGAAAAGAAAACCACACTTTTTTCTCGAAGAGCTAAAAAGGGACACATTTCGGATCTATTTGGCGTACTGCTCTTCGCAGTGCAAAGTGGTTGGTGTTTATTCAAGAACATCCTCAGGAGAAAGTCACTCCTTTGTGCCAATGTGTTGGAACAGCTCACCTTCACTCGCATATTTTTCGGAGGCTCAAAGTTCAAAGCTGCGCAAACGAGAGGTTAAAACCGCGATCCAATTGACCTATAAATTTTCCATGGCTTTAACTCACCGACGATGTTGTGGGACAACCGACTTTGGCGCTCTTGGAAGCATCGAGCTCAGTTTTCTCCCTTTGAGCTGTCCATTCGTGGACAGTGAGAGAAATGGGATGACCATGGGTGACCTTTTTGTCTTGCGAGGTGGACCCTCTCTTGGCACTGCTTGTCCGGGCTGCCACTTGATGGGTACGAGATGTAGTAAGACTCGAGAAACATCCTTTGGGTTGCTGGGTAAATAAACATACCTTCGGTCTGGATCCAAATCCCTATATCGGATTGCTACGACCTTTTTTCATGATCAAACGCCACCTTCTCAGCCCTTCACTTGCGGATCTGTGCCTTCATTTGCTTAATTATTTGCTGCCTGGCTTTTTTGCAGGGCCTCGAAGGGAGTGTGAGCAAGAAAAGACTTTGCTGCTGCTGCTGCTGCTGTTTTTATTTTACTTCTTCCAAAGCTGACACATCAGCCTTTTTGTCTAAATGTGAGAGTTTCTCAAAAAGCTAAGCATGCATTATATACTTTTGACCTTTTGCAGTATGTCTTTGCTACCTGCCCAACCTTGTCATGGCCAGTGAAAAGCAAATCTCTTCTCGAACACTAGAAAAGCAAAAGCCAGTTGTTTTTTGTTGCAAACGTTATTTCTTCCTGGAAGTATCGAACATGAGCGAAAACATACTTTTGACTCTTTGCGAACAGGTCCCTGGTTTTCACACAAATCGTGGGCTTTGGAATTGCCGCGTTAGCATATCCACACACATTGTATACTTAGTTCATCATTTGGCTTATTCATAGGCGCTCACAGACTCCGGAGCAAGGTTAAGTGACATGGAGAAAGATTCTTCCAAGCGTGCAGCGGCAGGCCGGCGGGAAAGCCCATGCGAAGACAGCAGGACAGGAACCAACAGCTGTTTCGGCCAGTGACAAGTTGGACTTCCAGGGATTCAAGGCTTTTGTTTGAAAGGATGGAAGTCACATGCTTTTGTTTGAAAGGATGGAAGTCAACAAGTCAGAAGGCAGCCTTGCTTTTGCAGGAGCTGGAGCTTACTTTCTGCCCCCACAGGCAGGCTCTAAAGACCGTGGCACATGGCAGTGTCAGATGCAATCGGCACCGAGGCGCAAGTGTTGCAGACAGTTCAGGCTTGAGCCCTGGGGGACAGACATCACCGAAAATCACTGGCTAAGCCTGGCATCTGGCAGCATTGGCCCCTTTTTTCAGGTCCCTCGCCGTTTTCCTGGCCACTTCATGCCTCACAGGATCTGGCCTGAGTCAAATCTTGATGAGAAGAGGATCCTAAATATCAATGTTTCGACATCACATGTTTCGACAGCGACATGCTGATTCAGGGATGATTGCTTGTATTGTGTTGCACTTATTGATTTGGAACTGGATCTGTGCATTCATCCATCCACTGGCATGATAGAAATCTAAGTCCGCCCACAAGCTTGCTCAGGGTATCGTTAGAGGGTATCATAACGAGAACGAAACGAGAACAACAACGATAACTATAACGCTATTTAACAAATCCTCTCAGATAAAGGACGCCCTCAAAAAGATGTGTTACTTATTCTTTCTGTTTCGTGTGGTATGCACCCATGCCTCTGGAACGAAAGCACTGCCCAGTGCCCAGTCCCCAAAACTGCAAGCATTCCTTCTACATCAGCCTCTCCGAGATTCGTGAGCAGACTGCCGAAACTTCGAACAACAGTTGGATACTGTGCTGAGCCATGCAAATGTCAGCACAATAGGGGCCCAAACCATTGAAAAACCATAAAGAGGAATGTGATACAATATAGATTCGATACAAAGCCCTTGAAAAACGATGAGAGGAAAAGAACTGACAACGCTGTTTTGGTAATAGCAAAGTGTATGGAGGTTTCTTAACAACCCCATTTGCTTTCTGCTTTTCATATTGCACGCTCCTTCTCGAATCCGCTAATTGAGGTTGTGCAACCACTGGAACCTTCAAGGATGGTGCAAGAAGGCAGAGGCTGGAGCTGAGGGCAAAACAGTAGAGCCCTTGGGCAATTGGGGTGTATCAGCGCTGCATCTATTGTGTGCTGCAGGACACTGTTTGAGCTAGGCTATATCCATTCGACATCATTTGACCCTGCCGTTTCCTGTATGGCGCTATCTTGGTATCGCCATTCGTCATCAGTGCTCTGTACCTGTTCGGCAGACCTGCACCTTTGCCCACGGAATCGAAGAGCTGCATCCGGATGCCCGACGCAGAGATTTACAGCTCGATCCTTCAGCCGAGTGTCACCGCATCGCGCTTAGGTTCAGGCGCAGCTTTTGCAGCAGAAGCCCCCGACCTCGGCAAACGGGTCGCAAACGGCAAACTTGCTTTGGGTTGAAAGAGATCGTGCCGGGGTAGCGAGCTTGGGCATAGCGTTTGTGTCTCTGAGGCCTGGAATGCCACCGCCGACTGTGACAAAAGATGGCTGGCGCCTTGTACAAAGCACTCAGTCCAGTACCTGAAGAACCTTCAACTTGCCTTTAACGCCTCATATCGCGTGGTTCAGCACGTCACGGGTCAATCAATTCGAGGGTCAAAACGACTGAGACAGGCATGCAATCTGAGCAGCGTTGCGATGGATTGTGTTTCTCCAAACGTTGCTTCTTTGAGGTCGGCTGGTGGCCGACAGCTCAATGCCGTGTGCAGAAAGCCTTTCTATTGTGGTTCTGAAGATATAATATGACTGTTTGATACTGTTTGTATAGTGCATTTCTCTTGTGACTTTGTTAGCATTTTTGAGACTTCACAACACATATTGACGACTGTACTTGTACCATCTTGTACCTTAGCATATGGGCACCACTGGTGTCAGATCACTGTCCTGCAGTCCGAATGGGTCACACCGATGCAACTAGAGCCATGGTGGATGCAAACCAAGGTTCATGGTGTCACGAAGCCAGCAGGGAAGGCCGGTTGAATCGTGGGGGGGGGACATCTTGCGGACACTGACATGCTGCGCAGGTTGAATCAGTTGGCCAGCTCCTGAGCATTCTTGAGATGGCTTTTGTGTTTGGCAAGTGCTCGCAGTGAACATTTTCTGGAGGGTTGGCACAGGTTATCCCATGCCAATGTCCGACGTGTACGGCAGCACGAACCTCTTGGGCTCAGGTCAGCTGCTTTTTTGACTGAGAGAACTGTGAGACCTGTGAAGCCTTCTGAACACCGTGCGAAGACCACGCCATGTGCCCGTGCGGTGCGTAGGCCTTCTCAACACAAACTTCGGCTTCAACCTTACAGGTGGGAGTGTGATGCCGACTGGCCATAGACTGGACCGTGTTTCCCAACGTTGGGAGGTCCGCACATTCCGCCCCCAACGACGTCCATGGAGCTGAAGGAGCTGCAGGAACTGAAGGAGCCTTCAGTGACACATCCATCAGCTGAGGTTGAAATTGTGTCAAGCCGTGTGGCGCTGCAGTAGGAATACTGGAGGAACCTGTTTAAACATTCTGATCGGCTTGTTGTTTACCTGGCTTGGTGCAGGAGACTGAAGAAGACATCCAGGCTTGCTTTTTGTGCATGTCAATGCAATGCATAGATCAAACAGAATAATCGACTATTAGATCCACTAGATCACACCCAAGGCGATCACAACTCACTTAGAAGGTCATCGACATTATGCCCTGCCAGCCAACTAAGTTAAACAAGTCGCTTGTTTTCCTTTCTATCCTTCCTTCTTTTGCTGCAGGAGCAAGCACGCGCACGTTCCACATCTCCAGGCAGGCACCTTCGGCAGTGTTCAATTGCTGTCAGCTGTTGGAGAGGCACCCCCAGCAAGCGTCGACCAGCACCAGCGCCCCTGTCGCTGTATCCCCAGCATGCCAAAGAGCCATGGTCAAAACTGTCAAGACCTAGGGAGCGCAAGAAGCATCACACAATAGGTTTGGGGCGAAATCTCTGAGGTTGGATGATATATCTCCAGAGAAGGGCAAGAGTTCAGTGCTATTCTCGCAGAGCGCCTGCCTCCTCAGTGCTATTCAGCGCTTCGCTGGCTTTCACCGGGCTATGCCAGCATGCGTCCGAGGTGTGCTATGCCGGCATGCGCCCCTTGGCCTCGCTGGTTGCTCAGAAAAGACCGGTTCCGCTGCCCCAAATGGCCAGAGTTTTGGAGGCCACAGTGTTGAGACATGTTTAATTGCATGCAGGAGGACTTGAAATATCTTGAAATGCTTTCTTTGCACACCTAACAGCAATTGAATACCTGAAAACGAGGAGTGCCTTGAAGCTTTTTTGAATGCTGTTGACAGATCAAGATAGGCGATTGAAAAGCTTTAGAGACTTTGCCGTTTTTGAGCTTTTCAAGAAGAGTTGAAGGCCAATTCTTTGAGTCGCCCAGTGGACAGCTGAATGTCTCGATCTGTCTTCGCTGCTTGCAACGAGGCCTATGCGGGTCTCGTTGGTCTCCAGGCGAAGTCGGCGGTGTGAAACGCTCTTTATCAACGCGACACAATGCAGGGCATTTCTGAACAGTTCTTCTTGACAGGCCACAAAAAGGCAAGGCCCTTTATGGCCACCATTTCTTCAGAATGAAACCAATGACACCTCTGAAATCTCACTGCTCATTGCGGCCATGGTCCCATTATCAGACAAGTATGCCGAAAGCAGTTGCTGCCCAAAGGAATTCCGAAGCTGATGTTTGTACAGATCCCACCTCCAACCCTGTATAAATAAAAGCTATCAAAGCCAGCCTTGGAAGAAGCTGTGGCCTGCCTGGAGCACACGGTCTGTTCTTTTTTGACCCAATCGAAGGACTTAGTAAACATGCCTTTGCAGAAAGAGCGGCAAGCCAAGTGAAGGCCTTTGCCCTCGCCAATCTCTACAGGATTTACGCCAACGGGGTCTGTGGCCCAAGCGTTTCCTGTCCGCTCAATCCTCATAGGTCCATCGTAGAGCTCCTCAACCTCCAACAATGATTCCAGGGCGACCTCTGTGGCGACCTCTGTGGCTATGGCAGCCATCTCGACTCCCAAGACAGGAGCAGCCTGGGCTCCTGGCCGCAGCTCTGCATTTTTGGGCTCTGAACAGAGTTTGGAAGGTGTGCATTCGGCTGCCATCGGCTCTGAGGTTCCATCGTTGGCTAGCCCAGCAAGGGTGCGCTTTCTTCTTCACTTGCACACTTGTTCTAATCGTATTTTAACTCGGTTTCTTTGCTTTGTCAGGTGACCACACACTTCACCCGTAGTCCCACAGGTGGCTTGATTTGGCCTGGAACTTGTGACTCACAGTGGCCTTTTTCGCTCTTTGTGGATCGTAGGGAGTGTTGAGACATGCTGAGACAGTTGGTGGGCTGAGACAGTTGTTATTTCCTTTTCAGGCCTGGCTCTCCCACTATGTTGGGCTCCCAGTCCAGATGTGTCCAGATGACCTCAAGTAGCTTGCTCAGATGACTTGATGCATGAAACATCAAGGCTGTCACCCGCCGGGCAACCATCTACGCCAGTGCTGACCCCGATGCAACAGACAGGGAAAGAACTTTGAGATTGAGCATGTGCTGTATGAGACATTCAGTGTGTTCAAAGCTTTGCACTGCAAACATGTTTGAAGCATAAGATGGAACCACCATTTGCCCCCATGTCTTTAGCCCCCATTACTTTGGATTTTAAAACACGTTTGGACAGGGATTCTTGTCATATTGCCTGAAACCCCTGTGCTGAGGTACCCATCGACCGATCGACCCTGCTGCAGGCCAGGCAGGTGGCCGTCCGCATGGACCAGGGCCCACCCGGCTTGGCCATGTCCGAAGCCCAGGGACCAGAGCTGTACCAAACGACCAGGTGTCCGACCAGGTGTCCTGATCATTTGAACCCCCGCACCTGATTACCTTTGGTAGGTTTTCTATTGCCATCCATCCTTCTGAGAACACTGTGGCTGTGAGGTGGGCACCAACACCGACCACGAAGGCAGACCATTGCAGATGCTAATGCTATGTGCGATGGGAGAAAATCAGCATACTCCTTGTATTCACAGATCGGACCAAGATTTGTGACCTGCAGGCGAACCTCTTGGGTTTCCGCTATCCTGAGCCAGGCGATCTTGGAATTCGCACAACGAAGGGAGCAGAGTGTCTGACACTTTCTTTTTCCGCTGACGAACGCCCAGGATACATGTCAGTTGCACCGCGAACGCCGGGAGCAGCATGAGGGATTTGTACAGGATTCTATTGTGCATGAGCAGGCTATGAAGCCCCATGTGTTGAAATCCAGCACAGGATCTGCCCCAGAAGCTGCGGCGAACCCTTTTGCTGAATCTTTGCAGCTTTTGCCTGGAAGGGTCACCTAAGGACCAAAAGATGTGAAAATGAGACCTTGTTGTCATTTCCAATTCTTTTCCAGAAGGCATCAAGTTGTTTTGCCTTCCAAGTATTGCATGGACGGGGTGTAAATTGCACCCTCGCTATACACTTGCCGTGTTTCGCCGTGCCTCTCAGAAATGCCCCAATTGCATGGCAACACACGATCTGGGCACTCGAAATGAACGAGAGGCACGACACTGCTGCAAATTCAAGATGGCCAGACGCAACTGCGTGGACTGGATAGCGCAGTCCCAAGTTTTGTTTGGGCCGTTGCGCCGAGGCCATTTAGGCCAATTGCGGCCTTGAAAGCGTGAAAAGAAGTTGTTTTCAACTGAAAACCCGTCACATGGTCTGAAGTCTCAGACGGCTGCTTGTCCGGGGCCAATTGCGCTCGAGGGCCAAGAGGGCCGTTGGGTCCAAGAGGGCCACGGCACGGCGAACGGCTGCGTAACTTTGGCCAGATGATGCCAGATGCATGCCATGCACGCCTTATTCATAATAGTAGTTATCACTGTGATGCAACGTCTGCTACCCTCCCACATACACATGTGGGCAATCAAGGAAAGACAGACTGGTCCACGGGAAAAGGGGGAAGCGCGCTTCGGCTGAAAGTTTCAGGATCTTGGGATAGCTTAGAACTATTCAGGACCTTAGGATCTAAGCATACTAGACGGTGCTTGCACTTGACAAATTTGGTGGCCAGTTCTTTGGATGGAGAGAAGGCAGGGCTCTCGTACTTCAGGTTTATGACTTCCTCAAGACTCTAGATGTGTGCAGTTTCACATTTCACTCAAAACTGTTGTCACAATGACATCATGAAAGCCGAGTCTGAAGTTTGCTTCTTGACTGCAAGGATTTTGGGGCAAGGGTAACGGGTCACCAAGAAAGCAATTGTGGCAGACATTGACTTGGTAGAGGTTGGATATGAGAAGGTGCCTTTCAGGCTTTGGTTTGTGCCGCATTGTGGGCAGCTCGAGACGGAGATCAATTTCTTGAGTTTGCCGTTGACCCCAATGTGTTTGATCAGGTTTTGGGGAGGATTGAGGCCATGTTGGACCATTGGAAAACTTCTTTGCAGGTGGATTTTGAGCCATATTGAAGAGTGTGGGGTACTTTCAAGGGTTTTTTTGGGTGCTGCCACAGGCGATTGCCAGGTGCTTTGGGAACCAGTCCAATCTAGATGTGACTAGGGGACCACGTTTGGCCACCCAGGCTTAGACCATTTTACACCTTCCAGCAACTCCTCTGTGTCAAAGAAGGCAGAGGGAGGTAGTTATGGTGTAACATTTGCGGAACTGACAGATAACAGCGCTCAACACGCAGCAACATTTCATAAAACAGATCCCAACTTCATCCCAACACTCGTTGAAGGTAATTTTCCTCGCAAGACTTTTAACCTAAAAGACCTGACAGGGCTGCATTGTGCAATTAGTCGTATGTATAGAATTGCACTCAACGAACAGACGATGGTCTACCCAGGAATGTTCCAGGCTCCTTTTGTTTCGCTACACTAGACACGAGATTTTTTGCTGTGGGACGGGGACACGCGGAGGTTCGTTTAAACAATGCTGTGGCAACAGCTTTCTCTCTCAGCATGTGCCAAGGCAATGAGCAAAGACCTTAGCCAGGCCGACCTGGCTCGACGCATGTCACTGTCGAGTGTGTTCCACCTGCAGATATAATTGTTGGAGTCATATCTTCATGTTTGTCCAACCCAGGATTGGAGCATAGTCATAGTCGGTGCAAGGCTGCGCCCAGTATCCCGCAACTAGCCCACCGTAACATCCCACCGCTGTCACAACAGTGCAACAACACTTTCAAGCGACAATGACAGCAACAGTCTATGTGACAGCACCACCGACAAGCCACATGACAGCTGCAGTTGGCAGATACTGTACGTATGTCATAGCAGTACGAGGCAAGAGAAATGATGAGCCAGCAGCAACAGCAGCAATGATAAAGCAAACATCAAGGGCAATGCCATGTCACAATGACAACAGAAATCAATGCCCAATGCCAAGCCATAAAGTGATAACATTGAATGGGAATGCGCAATACCAATACCCCTCAAGATCCTTTTCGAACTTGACAGTCTGGGCTAGCTTGAATTTAAGTATTTCGATGACACTGGAAGAAATGCCGCTGCTTTGCCCAGCAAAGCAACTGCCAAGCACATTCGTTCTCACTTGGGAGTTGCAGGAGGTTCTACAGCAACGCTTCAAGATCTCCAGAGATCAAGTTTTGGGTGAAGGCCATGCGACGCGAATTGTGGCAGCACAGGGAAAACTCCGCCACCTGTGGCAGCTTGAGGTTCTGGACACTGGTTAGTGTGTGGAAACCATGGTGTTACCGCATTTCCTGAATTTGCAAAGATATACCATCACGGCAGGAAGCTTTGCAGTGGTATACAGAGGGCTGGATACGGAGGCCACCATCGCCTGCGGACATGTCTGACAAACTGCAGCTGGACTTCTTAACTGCAGCTGGCAAGATGGTGAGGCCTTGAAAAATGTGGCAGTGAAAGTGTACAAAGACGTGGCCGGAGACCGAGACGATGCCTGGATACTAGCCTTAGAACGACTGCACCAAGAACTGGCCCGAGGATGAGGAAACACTTGCCAGTTACAAGAAGAGCTGCTTTCTCAGGATGCAAGAGCTGAGAGTGTGAGACTTTTTCAAAACGAGCCTCAGGCATCAACGTTTTGCTTGCCATTCAGAATGGGACGAAGATCGTGGATGATGAGAATCCCAAGTCTGAAGTATCTGGAGTCAAATGACCGACTTGACAAGCCACTTTGAAAGAGTTGCATTTGGACCCTGTTTGTGGAGAATGGAAGCTACTAGTAACAAGTGCATCGCTACTAGTAACAAGTGCCTTACTAGTAGTAACAAGAAGCTACATGTGTTGAATTCGAGGTAGTGAGCGAAGTCGGTGATGCCGAAGAGGGAGCTCTTGAAGCAGCACAGGACAGGCAGAAAGAATTCATTCTGAACAAGTCCTTGGTCCTTTGCAAGGTCCAGATTCAGACAGTCGGTGATATGTGATAATTTTGCATGGATTGTCCCTGTAAAGATCGATTGACTGATTGACCGATACTTCTGGAATACCAGGACAATGAATGGGCGGAGAGGTCAACCGACTGGGCAGAATTTGCCACACGCTCCTTCGATCCGCGCATGGTTGAACTGCCCACTGCTGTGTCCGACACTTAGTGGCTGGAGAGTCTCCGAGTGTCCCAGAAAACCGATGCAAAACTCTTCGGGTATGGGGGGGTCTATTAATCAAGAGAAAACATTGGACTCCTGCCTCCTTTTGCCGTGGATCTCTTTCCATAGGCGGCGCCGCTCCTCCAGAGGTGAACTGTGTCTCGACCGAATTGGAGAACAACCCAGCCGCTCTTGTACTTAGTCATGCTTCGACTTGAACGGTCCAAGTTCTGTGCCAAGCTAAGGATGAGGAAGATAGACTTTTCTTCTTGTTTTGTCGGTTGCTTAGTTCGGCAAGAGGCTCACGAACGATTTTTCTCCGTGTCGCCCGTTCACAGAGATTCTGCACCCGCTTTCGCCGACGACGATCGACTCACAGATGCTGTTGAGGTCTCTGTGATCAGCTACTCGAAAGATTCCAACGGCAAGCCTGGGCTTGATATCGAATCAGAGCTACTTAGCAGAAATCACCAATCGATCGGCAATGTTTTGCAACGCTGTTCCACAAAGAGGACAGATGTTTTAGGGAGTTGCCAGAAACAAAGAGGCTTCCTGCTCAGACGATCCAAAAGAGCCTCAACATCTTGAAAGACCTTCTAGGTGTTCGTGGGTTGTCCCCCACCCACTCAGTTTCAATCCAAGCATCCACAACTTGGACCAAGTCTTCAAACAAAAGCGGCCAATTTAGGGGCAGATTCCCACATTAAAACAATTGGAAGGACAACTGTGAACGACTCTATTTACGTGAGCAGTGAAGTAATGGAAGGTTCCTTCTCCGGACACCAGAGAATCGTCTTGGACTTCCAGGGGTATGTGCTTCCTCCCTTGCATCCTCCACGTGACGCGCCCGCGGCGCGCGTGCGGCCAAAAACGCGTCACGCGTCGGTATGAATTGACATGGACCTTCCCACGGGATTAGGATTTGATTGATGTGCTTGTGGTTTCCAGCTGGCCCAGCTGGCCGAAGGTCGTTATTCATTGTGTTTGAGCTTGGCATGGAATCACTAGAGGACACGCATCCCCCTCTCAGTGTTAGACAGGTTTTTCACTTGAGAAAGCCACAGAATTCCTTTTGGTTTCCTTGCAGTGCAAGACGCCCCTGGCAGGATCGGCTGATCCGATATGGGGACAAGGGTCGACAGCTAACTGCCGACGAACACCGCTCACTACAGTGGCTTGGACCATGGTTTCTACTTGGAATTGTGTTTGTTGTTTTTGTTCAGATGAGAAACCATGGGGATGATTGGACTCGAGATCAGCAAACGCAAGCTGATGGCTTCAGGTGGGCCTTAGTTTCAATTGCAACTTGGCTATTTGGTATATTTTGACGCTCCGAGAGGCGTTCAGTTTGAGATTTACTGAGGTTTTTGGTTTGCATACGATGGGGTGACTTGAATGCAATAGAGATGTGTACCACTCAGCAACTATAATGGAACACCTGCAAGCGGATTTGGGAAGAAAAGGTATGTGCACTTGGACATCAAGCCGGCCAACATTGTTTGCTTCGAGCTTGAGCACAAGAAGGAGAGTTTGCTGAGTTTTCTTGTCAGTTTTGCTGAAAAACCTTTAACCGGTGTGGCGCGATCCTTTTGTCACGCTAGTGAGTGTTGGCAGCCTGAGGAGCAATGGAAGCTTATAGATTTGGATGGTGCATTGTGCACTGGAACCGAAGTGCGTTTAAGCGCAACTTGCTGAAATAGTTGCCACGTTTGCTTTCAGCTTGATCTCATTTGGATTTGACCCCTTCTCTTCGTGGCCAAAGTCTGCCGTTCGCTCTGAGCCCTCGACTCACGTTCTGCCCAGGAAGTCGTTGCAACGTTGCAATATTTGTCGCTCTCTGAGACTGAGACGAGACTGCTATTGCTATTAGGTCGGAGGCCATCGCTGTTAGGTTGGAGGATGTTGGAGGCTATTGCTATCAGGTTGCTTGGAGGCCAGTGCTATTAGGTTGGAGGCTATTGCTACTAGGTCAGACGCTATCGCTATTAGGCTGGAGGCTGTTGCTATTAGGTCGCGCTA